TGTCAGTAGACTTCACGTTGGGGACGCTCGACGTTAGATAGTCTGGTCACAGGGGTGGCAACAGTTTGGAGTTGTTGAACGGCGGAGATGCTAGGGAAACACTCTGGGTCACGTAGGTGGCTGTAGGTTAAGGGTGGGAGTAATGGTTAATTATGTACTTAAGATTAGGAAAGGTACAGTTAAGTGAGGCTAGTGTTTGTCTATTAGTATTGATTTTTTTTGTGTGTGACAAGTTAAAAGTAGTGATGCCCTTATTCTCTCTTCTCTAACTTTACTCTGTTACTGTTTTATGTTCCACCAAGTCAATATCATTCAGAGTTAATTGGATTATTAAAATTTGAGTGTAGTCGTTGCCAGGAGGAGAGCTTATAATTGGACTGTGTGAACCCTATACAAACTACAGGGTCACACAACATGTTGGAACACGGTATTGTTGCCTTATGTTCATTCCCAGGTTGGAGCCAGAAGAGAGGCGAGGCGCATATGCAGAAGAGAGAGACGGCTGCTGTGTACCATACTCACGGGCGTTTATCACCACCACCACGACCAGCCCACTACCTGGAGGTCATGGCTCCACCACCACCACCACCCCAGGGGACCCCAAGATGCAGCCCTCTCGGTCGGTCAACATTGGTCTACCCAGTGGACCCCAGGTCGTTCTGCAGACGAACCCAGACGACCCAGTAAAGATGGAAGAGGAACAACGACTCCAGTCTGTCCCACCAACATCGGTCTACCCAGGACGGACCCCAATGGACCCCAGGTCGCTTGTCAAAGACCCATGGGAGGAGGAAGAGAGAAGAAAGAAGAGAGAAGAAAGAAGAGAGAAAAAAGGAGAGAGAAGAAAGAAGAAGATAAGACAAGCTGAGACACGATACCTAGTGTCCCTTGCTGGTGTCAGCATCATTGCATGGAGCGTAATTGCAAGACAGGATCGTTTGCCTTAACTGGCCGCCCCTCCTACAAGCATGTTGCTCTGTTGAGTGATTCTTCCTGTGTCATGCGGACTTGATGTGGCTGTCAGAAGCAGCTCTCTGAAGGAGGCGTGCTGGAGCAACAGGGAGGAAGAAGAGTAGGATGGGATTTCTACTGTTGGCAACTATATGAAGGTCTCGAAACTTGTAGTCCCTATAGCTGTGAAGAACCCCAATATACGTCTCTCATGGTGACTGACGTAGGGCCAATTACAGATCAGCTGGGACAACCGAATTCCACGGTCCTGTGCTCAGTTCAAGTAGTAACGGCTTTCGGGTTGACCAAGTGTTGTTGTGCGTTAACGACGGAGAAGCGACGGAGGCAGTTGTGTTGAAGAAATGTGGTACAGGATTATCTACAAGACCAAGCAGTGACGTCGCCCAGCCAGAGACAATGGACGTCTGTCTATATATTTCATTTTTTAGAGTAGGATGATGTATATTTGTTTAGCTAGGATGTATTTTTTTTTTCCTTAATAAAGTTGTCGCACACAGCTAGCTTGCTTTAGCAGTGTTGCAAAAACTTTATTTCGGGGAGAAGGGGAGATGTAACACTGTAAAAGTGTTTGGGTTAGTTTAATACATACATAGAGTACATGAGTCACAGACAAGGATCTGAGAGGCGCCAGTTGTCTGCCTGAGATCTCACACCTCAAAGCGTTAATGACCTCAAGTGACCTGAGGTCAGATCATGAGAATTTCACCTTGCTTCCGCTAAGCTCTTAATTGTAGTCTGGTAGCCTTCAAACAAGCCGACGTTTAAGGAGTGGCTTGGTAGTGCCGGAGGCTATCTATTTGTGGGCGGAGTTAGCTACTAGGTTCCCCAATATAAACTCGGAGAGCTATCCAGAAAGAAGCATTAACGAGACAGAACAGCACACGAGCCAGCAGAGAGAGAAGACAGCCCTACCAGGAAGGCTGTCGGCCGGCAGGGCGGGAGTCTCTGTCAACTACAGACCCCCCCCCCCCTCTCTATTCAACTTAGACTCAGTCCTCGGTGAGTGAACATTAAGGTGACTTGGTCGTGTTTACATATGTTGTGTGATGATCAGGGGCAGTCAAGTTGTAGGGTTCTCGAATTCTTGGATGATGACTCTCTTTAACATTTTAATTGAATTGCTAAATTATGATACTTCATGTGAAATATAATTATGAATTTATTATTTAAATTGTGTTTAACTTTGTTCCCTAGAGCTTTGAGTTGAGGTGAGAAAGCCTCTGTGGTTACTGTTTTCATGGTTTAGAATGAGTACATGATAAAGATGGGAACTACTAATAATGATCTCTTGATAACATCCTTTGAGAATTTTGTGATACAGGCAAGTTCCATTCCTTGTCTTGTATGTAATGATCATGAATGGATGGTGGCAGCATTTCGTCTTCTACTATCTACTCTTCTACTTCTACTATCTACTCTTTTACTTCTACCTATCTACACCTCTCCCTCCAGCCTTCTCTAAACTCTCACTTTCAACTAATGACCCTTCTCGCTCCTCCCACCTCTCTGCCTCTCACCCCAAACCCTCACTAATTACTTCACTATTCATTTCTTTCCTTTCGTTTCCACTTATACGTTTGTGGCAATGATTCGGTATTCTAGAGTTCTCTCTAGAGTTTCGGGTAACTGATCAAGTGACGGCGCCTTGTAGTCTTAGCACCTAGGTAGTCAAATACCTAGGTTACAAGGTGTTGAACGAGAGAGGTTGCCTTAGGAACTCTGGAGGTGCTCTAGAATAGTTAGCTAACTGTGGACGGGATAACGGACTAGAGAGAGCTGTTTCCCCCGGCTTCGTTAGTTAACTGGGGGGTGGAATAATGGACAAGATAGAGCTATTTCCCCCACCCCCCGTTACATTGTCAACACAGCCGGCTCCATGTTGTCAACACAGCCGGCTCCATGTTGTCAACATAGCCGGCTCCATGTTGTCAACATAGCCGGCTCCATGTTGTCAACATAGCCGGCTCTATGTTGTCAACACAGCCGGCTCTATGTTGTCAACACAGCCGGCTCCATGTTGTCAACATAGCCGGCTCTATGTTGTCAACACAGCCGGCTCCATGTTGTCAACATAGCCGGCTCCATGTTGTCAACACAGCCGGCTCCGTGTTGTCAACATAGCCGGCTCCATGTTGTCAACATAGCCGGCTCCGTGTTGTCAACATAGCCGGCTCCGTGTTGTCAACATAGCCGACTCCGTGTTGTCAACATAGCCGGCTCCATGTTGTCAACACAGCCGGCTCCGTGTTGTCAACATAGCCGGCTCCATGTTGTCAACATAGCCGGCTCCGTGTTGTCAACACAGCCGGCTCCGTGTTGTCAACATAGCCGGCTCCGTGTTGTCAACACAGCCGGCTCCGTGTTGTCAACATAGCCGACTCCATGTTGTCAACATAGCCGGCTCCATGTTGTCAACACAGCCGGCTCCATGTTGTCAACATAGCCGGCTCCGTGTTGTCAACATAGCCGCCTCCATGTTGTCAACATAGCCGGCTCCGTGTTGTCAACACAGCCGGCTCCATGTTGTCAACACAGCCGGCTCCATGTTGTCAACATAGCCGGCTCCATGTTGTCAACACAGCCGGCTCCATGTTGTCAACATAGCCGGCTCCGTGTTGTCAACACAGCCGGCTCCATGTTGTCAACATAGCCGGTTCCATGTTGTCAACATAGCCGGCTCCATGTTGTCAACACAGCCGGCTCCATGTTGTCAACATAGCCGGCTCCGTGTTGTCAACATAGCCGCCTCCATGTTGTCAACATAGCCGGCTCCGTGTTGTCAACACAGCCGGCTCCATGTTGTCAACACAGCCGGCTCCATGTTGTCAACAAAGCCGGCTCCATGTTGTCAACACAGCCGGCTCCGTGTTGTCAACATAGCCGGCTCCATGTTGTCAACACAGCCGGCTCCGTGTTGTCAACATAGCCACCTCCATGTTGTCAACATAGCCGGCTCCGTGTTGTCAACACAGCCGGCTCCATGTTGTCAACACAGCCGGCTCCATGTTGTCAACATAGCCGGCTCCATGTTGTCAACACAGCCGGCTCCATGTTGTCAACATAGCCGGCTCCATGTTGTCAACACAGCCGGCTCCATGTTGTCAACATAGCCGGCTCCGTGTTGTCAACACAGCTGGCTCCATGTTGGCAACATAGCTGGCTCCATGTTGTCAACATAGCTGGTTCCATGTTGTCAACACAGCCGGCTCCATGTTGTCAACATAGCCGGCTCCATGTTGTCAACACAGCCGGCTCCATGTTGTCAACACAGCCGGCTCCATGTTGTCAACATAACCGGCTCCATGTTGTCAACACAGCCGGCTCCATGTTGTCAACACAGCCGGATCCATGTTGTCAACACAGCCGGCTCCATGTTGTCAACATAGCCGGCTCCATGTTGTCAACATAGCCGGCTCCATGTTGTCAACATAGCCGGCTCCATGTTGTCAACATAGCCGGCTCCATGTTGTCAACACAGCCGGCTCCATGTTGTCAACACAGCCGGCTCCATGTTGTCAACACAGCCGGCTCCATGTTGTCAACACAGCCGGCTCCATGTTGTCAACACAGCCGGCTCCATGTTGTCAACATAGCCGGCTCCATGTTGTCAACATAGCCGGCTCTGTCATAAACAAGCTAACATGAAAGTGAATCCCTTGATAATGTATGCATTTTTAGCTTATTGTATTCAGGAAATGTTGCGAGGCAAAGGGTAGTGACACAAAGCTTGGTGTGTGTGCGTTCTTACAGTCACGTACACACACACACACACACACACACACACACACACACACACACACACACACACACACTGCGCGCGCGTGTGTAGTCGCCTAGTTATGTATATCAGGAGTATCTGTTTGTAATTAATTAATTAAGACACAGGCTCCTTTGGTTCCATGTAGCAGCGGTTACACACATGTGTCCCTGTGTCCGCTATACACCAGCCACGTGATTCACGTGTCCCTGTGTCCGCTATTTGTATCTAGCCAATCTAGGACCATTAGCTTAGTGTTTAACGAAGCCATATGGCTGCCTCCACACTTGTCTACACCTTACTTCTAGCAAGACAAATAAGTATTAAGTGTAAGTACTTCGTAAGTGCTGACAGGGGGGGGGGGATAAATTACGACTATGGAAGTGCTTGTCACACCGAGAACGACAAAGGCAATTAGTGCGAGTTATAACGACCGGTAAACAGTGTGAAGTGAGTAACGAGGTTGTTACACCTTGTCAAACCTTTCCCAATTATTTCTCCAGATATATTTTTTATTCAAGGTGAATTTTGAACTGGCTTACTTTGAACTGGCTTACTTTGAACTGGATTACTTTGAACTGGATTACCTTGAACTGGATTACCTTGAACTGGCTTACCTTGAACTGGCTTACTTTGAACTGGCTTACTTTGAACTGGATTACTTTGAACTGGATTACCTTGAACTGGATTACTTTGAACTGGATTACCTTGAACTGGCTTACTTTGAACTGGATTACTTTGAACTGGCTTACCTTGAACTGGATTACCTTGAACTGGAGTATCCTGGAATTCACAGCTTTAGCGGGCCGGCGATTCCATGGATTTATTAATCACTCAGATTACGAATCCAAGATATAACGACGCAATAATGGGTTCATATTGAATAATCCAAGATATAACGACGCAATAATGGGTTCATATTGAATAATCCAAGATATAACGACGCAATAATGGGTTCATATTGAATAATCCAAGATATAACGACGCAATAATGGGTTCATATTGAATAATCCAAGATATAACGACACAATAATGGGTTCATATTGAATAAATTTACATTTGGAGAAGAAATGGGTCAACCCAAGTCCGGAAATGGGGGAGGAAATGTCGAGGATAAAGAGGGGGAGAGGGGAGTGAAGGATGGGGAGAGTTTGTTGGAATAGAAACAAAGAGACGAAAAAGGAAAAGGTGAAGTGAATGGACACTGAGAGAGAGAGAGAGAGAGAGAGAGAGAGAGAGAGAGAGAGAGAGAGAGAGAGAGAGAGAGAGAGAGAGAGAGAGAGAGAGAGAGAGAGGAGGGAGGGAGGAGAGAGAGAGAGAGAGAGAGAGAGAGAGAGAGAGAGAGAGAGAGAGAGAGAGAGAGAGAGAGAGAGAGAGAGAGAGAGAGAGAGAGAGAGAGAGAGAGAGAGAGAGAGAGAGAGCATCTCCACAGTTTACAATAGTATAGCCTCAAGTATTCCATAAACTAACACTCATTATCTTAACACTATCAACAATAACACCAGATCCGACCCGTCCTCCCGTCTAATAGGTCGTGTTTTTTACGTTAGGGTGACCAAAACTTTACACACCAACGTTACAAATGCAACCTACTATGAAAGGTAACGGCTCAGAACTATCTCCGTTTTCTATGCATCGGGCTCAATAGGTTAGGTGGGTGGTTTGGGTTCGCACGTTTCTCATTAGGTTAGGAGGTTGGATTTTTGACGGAGTGGCAAATCACTCCGTCAAAAATCCTATTGACCCATACGAGGCAGCTCCTATTGGCCCAGACGAGGCAGCTCCTATTGGCCCAGACGAGGCAGCTCCTATTGGCCCAGACGAGGCAGCTCCTATTGGCCCAGACGAGGCAGCTCCTATTGGCCCATACGAGGCAGCTCCTATTGGCCCAGACGAGGCAGCTCCTATTGGCCCAGACGAGCCAGCTCCTATTGAAATCCATCCAAACATTGAAATACGTGTCTATCCTACGCACGAAACAAACCAGCACTCCATTATCTATTATATTACCCGGGTAATGTGTTCCATAACTCGTCACGCTGGGCTCCCACACCAGCATGGACACACACACACACACACACACACACACACACACACACACACACACACACACACACACACACACACACACACACACACAGGTTGTGGAAGGTTGTGGAAGCAAATACTATTCATACTTTTAAAACTAGGTATGATAGGGAAATGGGACAGGAGTCATTGCTGTAAACAACCGATAGCTAGAAAGGCGGGATCCAAGAGTCAATGCTCGATCCTGCAAGCACATATAGGTGAGTACATATAGGTGAGTACACATATCACACACACATATCACACATATATCACATATACTAAGCCAATGAACATAATTCCGTATCAATAAATCTGAGGTATTTCAGCAAGGTTCTGGCGACAGGTCATTTGTGAAGTAAAACATGTTTTACTCTTGATCTATTGAATGGCTTATTTGAACACATGTTCCTTTACTTGTGAAGGAAAATGTGTCTTTAGTTCTAGTTCATGTTTGAGGAAGAGAGAGAGGGGAGGGGGGGGGGAGGTTGTGGATGATGGTGGTAGTGGTTGTGGATGGTGGTAGTTTGTTGTTGTTTCGCTACTCAGAACGATAAGTTCCAGTAGCACGGGCTATGGTGAGCCCGTAAGTGGAGGCTCTTTGGAGCCATGGTGTGGGTGGCAGATATAGTCCATCTGGGAGGTGAGGTGAGGAAGGCGCTAGCTCCTGGCCTCCTGGACAACTACACCCGGGTCTGTATACAGTATGCAAATGAGCTGTGTGGCTGAGTCTTCTTCAGGACGCAACTTAATAATTGCTTTTGTCACAAACCTCGACTACCTCCGATGTGTTAGGGAAGGGGGGCGGGGGGTGCGTGGTTTATTTACCAATGTGTGCCTGCAGGATCCAGCTGTTAGCTCCTGGGCCCTGGCTTTCTACCCGTTGGTCTCTAATGTTCTGACTCTTGACCTATTTTGTCTATCATATTTGCTACATATTTCTCTCTTTCACACACATATTCCTAACATGCAGCCCAAATAACTCCAAGATACTTATTTACTACTAGGTGAACAGGTGCATCAGGTAAAAGGAAACGCTGCCCAAATTGTTACTCTTCGTGGGATTAAACCCTGGACTCTGAATTGTAAGTCCAGGATGTGCACATGTGTACCACAGAACACTGTGTGTGTGTGTGTGTGTGTGTGTGTGTGTGTGTGTGTGTGTGTGTGTGTGTGTGTGTGTGTGTGTGTGTGTGTGTGTGTGAATGCCCCTAAGTATTCTATACGTGTATATGTCATCCCTCTCCTTTTTTTTCTAGCGTCATCATGTGTACAGTTCTTTCAGTCCCGCTTCATATCCCATCCCATGTAATTCTGGGACGAGCCTCGTCACAAACCTCTGAAACTTTTCTTGTTTTCGTGTGTGATTTTGGGGTTTTAATGCCGGGTTCCAGGATGAGGCGGCACACCAACATTGTACAAGTACACACACACAAACACGAACTGGTACACACACACACACACACACACACACACACACACACACACACACACACACACACACACACACACACACACACACACACACACACACACACAAACTGGACATACAAATACACACACACAAACACAAACTGGTACACACACATACAAACAGAAAGACTAAACTGGAAAAGGTACAAAGGTTTGCCACCAGACTAGTACCCGAGCTGAGAGGTATGAGCTACGAGGAGAGACTACGGGAATTAAACCTCACGTCGCTAGAAGACAGAAGAGTTAGGGAGGGGACATGATCAGCACGTACAAAATTCTGAGAGGAATTGATAGGGTAGATAAAGACAGGCTATTTAACACAAGGGGCACACGCACTAGGGGACACAGGTGGAAACTGAGTGCCCAAATGAGCCATAGAGATATTAGAAAGAACTTTTTTAGTGTCATAGTGGTTGACAAATGGAATGCATTAGGAAGTGATGTGGTGGAGGCTGACTCCATACACAGTTTCAAGTGCAGATATGACAGAGCCCAATAGCCTCAGGAATTTGTACACCAGTTGATTGACAGTTGAGAGGCGGGACCAAAGAGCCAGAGCTCAACCCCAGCAAGCACAACTAGGTGAGTACACACACTATAACAATAAAAAAGTGAACAACAAACACAGCCAAAATTCACATGAACTTCCTTACAAATAAGTTTACATAAAATTTGGCTTCCTCCTCCATTTCCTTTCCATATTGCTTCCGTTTGTGCGACAGCTTCGCCCCTCTCATGTTTTGTATCCTCTCTCTCTCTCTCTCTCTCTCTCTCTCTCTCTCTCTCTCTCTCTCTCTCTCTCTCTCTCTCTCTCTCTCTCTCTCTCTCTCTCTCTCTCTCTCTCTCTCTCTCTCTCTCTCTCCCTCTCTCTCTCTCTCTCTCTCTCTCTCTCTCCCCTCGCGAACTCACATGATCAATGCAACCCTCACAGTCAGCTATAAATTGCAATGCTCTTATCAATGGCTTTTATTGAGTTATGATGAAATGTAGAAGCCACTGGTGAGTGAGAGAGAGAGAGAGAGAGAGAGAGAGAGAGAGAGAGAGAGAGAGAGAGAGAGAGAGAGAGAGAGAGAGAGAGAGAGAGAGAGAGAGAGAGAGCGAGCCTGGTGTATCGTACAGAAATGTGGGGTACTAAGAGGAGCTTCACAAACTAAGTCCCAAGGATAGTTTAACGTGGGGGGGGGGGGGGGGGGTAGCCTAGTAGCCCCTTCCACCAGGTCATTCATGCCTTCATTCTTCTGCCTTCATTCCTCTATGTCATTCTCTGCCTTCCATTCTTCTTTCTTCATTCTTATATGTCCTTCTTCGCCTTCACTTTTGCTTCTTCACTTTTTTCTTTCACCCTTATTCATTTCTTAATTACACAAAGTTCCATAAGGGACAATAGTCTCAGCATCAAAATCAATGTTAGCAAACATTAATATATCACCTCGAATACTACGAGCACATGATGAATCTATTGAGGCACTTGAATGGGATCGAACGCGCGTGACCCTGGCAAGCATAACAAATACTGACGGAAAACAAAAAGATGACTTCTTCAAGAACCAATTAAGACACGTTCCTGCAAGAAGTAGCGTACTAACGGGGTTGTAGGGGGATATGTGGGCCTACGGGCCGCTCCAAGCAACAGCCTGGTGGACCAAGTTATCATAAATCAGAAGTGAAACTCCCAGAACCCTCCCAAGCTATGATCCAAGGATGCTAGTTCGATAACATTTGATAGGCGCAATAATTTGTCAAGTACCCCAGTGCTCCCTGTACCCCAGTACACTGTCCCAGTGCACCCTGTACCCCAGTACACCATGCCAGTGCACCCTGTGCACCAGTACACCATGCCAGTGCACCCTGTACCCCAGTACACCGTCCCAGTGCACCCTGTACCCCAGTACACCATGCCAGTGCACCCTGTACCCCAGTACACCATGCCAGTGCACCCTGTACCCCAGTACACCATGCCAGTGCACCCTGTACCCCAGTACACCATGCCAGTGCACCCTGTACCCCAGTACACCATGCCAGTGCACCCTGTACCCCAGTACACCATGCCAGTGCACCCTGTACCCCAGTACACCGTCCCAGTGCACCCTGTACCCCAGTACACCATCCCAGTACACTCTGTACCCCAGTACACCATCCAAATCGTCAGAAAAAATACTAATCACATCATCATATTAGTAATAATATTGGTCATATCAATTATAATATCAGTCATCATATCAGTAATCATACTGGACATCATATCAGCAACACTGCAAGAATAATCATCAACCAACACCTGCTCCAGATATATCCAAGTATATCCACTAGGAAAATGAAACGGGAAAATGAAAATGAAAATGAAAAGACAATGTTTCACCACTTGTCAAGGCACACATATTCGTCTGAATACCTTCGTAATGTGGTGGAAGACGAAAACTTTCGGAAATTTTCCTGGTGGAAAATTTTAATTTTCATGGCGGATACTTAATTAAATCAAGTGGTGAAACAAGGTGATTTAACTTATTGACTTATTCCCTAACGCAACTATCAAAGATCACTTATCCGCGTCGATTAGTCGATTAGTGTCAGCCGATCACAGTATTAGTCAATCACAGTATAAGTAGATCCCATAATAGGATAACTCCAATATAATTTAATCCTATTATACGTTAATACTAGCATAAAACAATCCAATATACTGGATATAATATACTTTTATATAATAATAGTAAAATAGTACACTATTATATCCGGTATATCTAAAATATTACACCATTATACCTTGTATATCGGTATTAGTGCGGCATTATACTTGGTATATCAATACTAGTACATTATACCCTATATATCACTATTATACTCAGTATATCAGTACTAGTACATCATTGTACTCGATATTATACTCGGTATATCGATAATGGAAGCTATTGTAATCAGTATATCAGTCCTAGTACATTATTATACCCGGTATATCGGTGCTCGTGCACAATTATACCCCGTATATACCTGTCATCCTTGATAGCCGCAAGGCGAAGGATATATATACACTCTAAGTATACTTTAGTTCTAGACAATGTTCAGGACTAAACTATACTTGGTGGTTGGTCAGTAAGCTCTTGTGGTGGCCTTAATAACCCTCCAGAGGTTGATAGGCCTTAAGCCCAACACTAGGCAGGTTGGTTGGTCAATACTCTCTTGTAGTGGCCTTAATAACCCTGAAGCAATACACCAATTACGGAAACAATATTATTTCTTCATCTCATTCCTAATCACTCCTCCTTATAATAACAGCCTAAGGCATTCAAATAATTTAATAAGAGCAAGAATCACTTTAGGCTACATATTTCTCATTCAAATTCTTTTCAGTGTCAACAGGTGTAAATCAGCTGCCATTATGTATACACATGTTCTTTCAAAATCATACATTTACATGTTACTGTGTATACATATTCAGCGGATACGGGTTGCAGTTAACGAAATATATTTACTAGTGTTTATGCGTATATTACTGCTCAAAATACGATATGCTGGATATGCTGCCAACTGAAAGCTTTACATAAATCTCTGAGCTTTATATTACAATTGTTTCAGTAAATAGTATGCAAATTGCTTAACAGTCAAATACATTTGGGTGTAAGAGCAATTAGCAAATCAGCGAGCAAGCCACTAATCAAAAGCAGCCTAGATTACTAATCAAATAATTTACTCTATAAACAATAAACACATAATACAATTAATAAAAACATAACACCAATAAACAAAAATATTGATATAAGGAATATAAATATTACACTTAATGTAAAAAATAATAATTAAAGCAAAGAAAAACGAAGCTTAAATAGAGAAACATTATCAATATAAATTTAGTATAAAAGATAATAATTAAGCCATAAAAAGCTAAGTAAACCGTTGTAAGCCTCGCCCCCAACCCTCTTCCACAACAAAGGAAAGTTGCCTTGATGCTGGCTGGCGTGTCTTCCAATTCAAACTGAATTCCTATAACTCACAATTATCAATTGTCCAAGACGTTTTATCCCGTTGTCATGGTTACATCTGAGCTCAAACCCCCCCCCCCCAACCTCCTTCCACACCCGAATTGCTTGTCATGAACGATACGAATCTATTAAGACGTATCAAGCCTGAATACTGATCTAGCTATCAAACTCTTGATGGGAGTGACAGCCTGGTTCTGGGGTGATTCACGGACCTTTCCCAGACACAAGAACACTGCCCCACTTTCACTGACACATAGAGTAACCCCCCATAAAGGTTCTCCTGGCCCCGCTCTCCCAGAAGACCATGAATCAATGATGTTCACGTCGAGAAGCACTTGACAGACAGGTGGTGCATGGGAGTCGAACCCCCCCGCCCACCCTCCCCTGGCTAGAGAGAACTTTTCACACGAGTGGCCCCGTGTCTTAATTCATTGACCCCATCCACCCCGTTAGTTTAAAAGCAGCGGGGGAGACACATGGTTCCTCCCTCACCCTCCCGCTCGCAGGTGTTCTGCCTCTCCTTCACCAGTCCACCAAACACCCGCAGGTACCGGGGGTTTTCGGGGTTAAATTTTCACCCAAACGCGACTGTGAGTGTATGTCTGTCCCATGGTGTAGGTACTTCCGGATGCCTCACTCCCGTAATCGGCCGAATTTCCGTCACCCGCTCATCCGATCGCGGAATTTTCTGCTAATACGCCGTTTTACGCCTTGTCCCATCACCAATTGACCGATCAGCTGATGGTATGTATGAGGATATTTCCCCCACGGAAGCTGTCCGTGACATACACACACGCACGCACGCACGCACGCACGCACGCACGCACGCACGCACGCACGCACGCACACACACACACACACACACACACACACACACACACACACACACACACACACACGCACACACACACGCACACACGAAACCGAGAGGCGACCTCCCTAGCTCTCTCTCTCACACATCGATCCATAACATAGCAGACTACATTAGATTTCCACTCGTTTCTACGACAACCGCTGCACCAAGCCCCTTCACACACGCCACACACCGGGCCACGATCTTTACGTCCCTGAAATTGGCACTGAATAACACAAGCAAGGGCTAAAAACCAGGTAAATACGATCAAAACTCACTTGTCTCGTATGCGGGAAGACCAGGCAGCCTCAACATGGCGGGCAATGGTTGCTGGTGTTGCCATCTAGTGTATGAATTTCCAACCATCCCCCGCACCCAGCCACCCAACCCTTATATCTCCTAATTACTTTACTCACCCTTTACTCACCTATTTAACTGGCTGGGATCAATTACGTGTTTGATGAAATACCAATACTTGCCACGCAATGGAGTTTTGAGTTGTAAATACTAATTAAATAGCCCGAAAGACAAGCCTGAAGCATACCATCTATCATTTATTAATTAGTAATGATACCAGTACCAATTGTTGACTTATTGTATTTGTTTGGGCATTATAAGATAGTACAAACGGGGGTTTCACTACAAATTTTGAAGGTTAATGATATATATATATATATATATATATATATATATATATATATATATATATATATATATATATATATATATATATATATATATATATGTATATATATATATATATATATATATATATATATATATATATATATATATATATATGATGTGTGTGTGTGTGTGTATGGGTCTTATATGGTATTATATAATTCTATAATATATGGATATTATATCCTAAGTCAGTGAAGTTGCCTCTCACCTCATACATACATCCCCTACACTGTGAGTCTCTATACATGAGAGGTCGAAGTACTCACAGCACAAATATACATAACTCAGACCTGGATAATTGAAACAAAGCAAATTGAAAACCCGTGATGGTATTGTGAGCTGACATGAGGCTTTCTGGCATTTATATGTTTATATTTGTTGAAATTAAACCATGTTCTTCGGCAAACTGGGATTTATCAAGCCTTTACGCAATCACTTACGAAACCTGTACATCTTTCCTTAATCATGGCGGCTGTTGTTACATATATTATACAGTTAACAAGCTTGGAAACTTCACAACTCCAGGTTATTATTGTTATAAACAGCCTCGTGGTGATTTGGTGCTCATAAACTGTTTAACAAATGTAAACAAAGCCTCCATGATTGATGAAAGATGTACAGGTTTCGTAAAGTGACTGCTTAAATTACTCGATGAATCTTAAATCCTTGAAGGGACATACCTGTTGGCCGTGCCTACCTATATGAATGATACATCATAAATTCAACTAGTTAGCTAGTAAGCTAATTTCGTTCGCCGACGAAATTTCTAGCCTATCTATCCTTATCCAACCGAACCAAACAGCCAAACCTAAGCTAAAATATTCTCCCCTAATCCAACCCACACCAACTTATCCTAACTGAACCTTACAGAGCTTAAGCTAAGCTGAAACATCCTAGCTTAACAATATTTACGGTTTAAACAAATAGAAAACGAGCTTTTGTGGAATCATGCCCCTGTCAATATGATGGTAAGTCACTTAGTATTGAAATGTCAACACAGTTTGCAATGGAATTTTGTTGCAAATACTGCCCACAGAGTTCCTCCATGCTGTTCCTAGCATGAATATTATGCTGTCCACATAGTGCTGTCCACAGCAGGGAGAAATGCTGTTCACAGCACGGAGGAATGCTGTCCACATAGTGCTGTTCACAGCAGGGAGAAATGCTGTTCACAGCAGGAAGGAATGCTGTTCACAGCAGGGAGGAATGCTGTTCACAGCAGTGAGGACTGCTGTTCACAGCACGGAGGAATGCTGTCCACATAATGCTGTCCACAGCAGGGAGGAATGCTGTCCACAGCAGAGAGGAATGCTGTTCACATCAGTGAGGAATGCTGTTCACAGCACGGAGAAATGCTGTCCACATAGTGCTGTCCACAGCAGGGAGGAATGCTGTCCACAGCAGAGAGGAATGCTGTTCACATCAGTGAGGAATGCTGTTCACAGCACGGAGGAATGCTGTCCACATAGTGCTGTTCACAGCAGGGAGAAATGCTGTTCACAGCAGGAAGGAATGCTGTTCACAGCAGGGAGGAATGCTGTTCACAGCAGGGAGGAATGCTGTCCACAGCAGGAAGGAATGCTGTCCACAGCAGGGAGGAATGCTGTTCACAGCAGGAAGGAATACTGTCCACAGCAGGGAGGAATGCTGTCCACAGCAGGGAGGAATGCTGTCCACAGCAGGGAGGAATGCTGTCCACAGCAGGGAGGAATGCTGTCCACAGCGGGAAGGAATGCTGTCCACAGCAGGGAGGAATGCTGTTCACAGCAGGGAGGAATGCTGTCCACAGCAGGGAGGAATGCTGTCCACAGCGGGAAGGAATGCTGTCCACAGCGGGAAGGAATGCTGTCCACAGCGGGAAGGAATGCTGTCCACAGCAGGGAGGAATGCTGTCCACAGCAGGGAGGAATGCTGTTCACAGCAGGGAGGAATGCTCCCGTGCCACTGGGTTCGGCCACGGCATTTTTATGCTGTATAGCATTTTAATGCACACTCAAACAACTTTACAGTGTCATAATACACCTTAATACAACTTGAGTAGCTTCATAATACAATCTCATACAACTTGTATACGTCAAAATACAATCATATATAACTTCTATAATGTCATAATACACTCTCATAACTTGTATAGCATATGCTATACAAGTTATACAAATACTCTCATATTTTTACAATGATACTTGTGTATATAACGATGATACAGTCATACACGCTCTGTATACGATACACAACAGTGCTGTGTATATTATGATGATTGAGTGATACATGTGTATTGAATGGTATACATACTGAGTGATATGTATGGTATGTATACTTACAGTCGTCCGTATGACAGGCATACTAAATGATACTTGTGTCATATATACTGAGAGATGTATGACAAGTATATTGAGTGATACTTGTATACTGAGTGATACGTGCTAGGTGCAGCATGTATGCTACGTGGCATGTATATTGCATATGTATATGATATATATTAAATGTATTTTAATACAGCCATACTGTATTCTGTATAAATCATAAATTCATACAAAGTACTGATTTAAGTTTTTGCTATGTATTGTCGTGAATGAATTCATACATATTGCCTCGCCGATATACATGAATACATATATAAATATCTATGTTATTTATACATGAGAGTGACAATTGTGTTATGTTAGTTACAAAATATACTGTATATTAATACAACTATACATTGTCATGAATGTAATACTGAGCAAAAATGGTTTAAAATAGTTTATCCATTGTATAATACATAAAATACAGTGCATACAATATTCATGTCAATGATGCAATCATACAATTAATACACCGAAGCTTCAGTAGATACAATACATCAAGTATACACAGAGTATGAACATTTTTCCACCCAGCTTCCATACACTGAAGCAAGAACCAGTGAAGCAAGAACCAGTGAAGCAAGAACCACTGAAGCAAGAACCCGTGAAGCAAGAACCACTGAAGCAAGAACCACTGAAGCAAGAACCCGTGAAGCAAGAACCAGTGAAGCAAGAACCACTGAAGCAAGAACCCGTGAAGCAAGAACCACTGAAGCAAGAACCCGTGAAGCAAGAACCACTGAAGCAAGAACCCGTGAAGCAAGAACCACTGAAGCAAGAACCACTGAAGCAAGAACCCGTGAAGCAAGAACCAGTGAAGCAAGAACCAGTAACCGGTTCCAAGTCTCTCCAGACAAGACAACCTCTAACAAAGCCCACCACAAAGTGAGGCTCTTATTGGCCGGGGGAATATTATTCCCTGCTTGGTGAACAGCGGCATCAGGTGAAACGTGCCCAAACGTCTCAATCCTCACGCGAGAATCAGGACTCTGGAGGTAAGTTGTGTGGGGACGACGCCGCCCACTCCGCTAAGCGCCCTACAGGACTCCTGGACTACCCTTCCCAGTGGATATGTTATGTCTTAGAGTATACCACCATCTCCAACCCTTGGGACGGGCATATACACGCACAGGACTTGGTAAGAGGCCAGGACTTGATAACGGTCCAGGACTTGATAACGGTCCAGGACTTGATAAGGGGTCCAGGACCTGACAAGGACCGCAGGACCTGACAAGGGCCGCAGGACCTGACAAGGGCCGCAGGACCTGACAAGGGCCGCAGGACCTGACAAGGGCCGCAGGACTTGACAAGGGCCGCAGGACCTGACAAGGGCCGCAGGACCTGACAAGGGCCGCAGGACCTGACAAGGGCCGCAGGACCTGACAAGGGCCGCAGGACTTGACAAGGGCCGCAGGACTTGACAAGTGCCCCAAGACCTGACAAGGGTAGTGACACATTAAGGGCCCCGGGTATATTTACCCAACTTGTCAAAAGATATGAACCACAAAAACATTAATATCTTTACCGGAGTCTGAAAGGTTTAATGGATTACTGATGAGGACAAACGTGGTGGCTGACGAAACCTGTACATCTTTCCTCTATCATGGCGGCTGTGTTTACATATATTAGACAGTTTACCAGCTGGGAAACTCCACAACCCGAGGTTATTATTATTATTAACAACCTCGTAGTACTTCAGGACTGTTTAATATAGTCAAAACCGCAAGTGATTGAGGAAAGATGTACAGGTTTCGCAAGCGAACAGTGCTGCCCGAACGTACAAAAGTGGACTGTTGCGGCAACACCTACGGTCACATTGTCAATGTCTCAATACACACTGGTTTTTGTTAGTGTATTTGTTTCCATCAGCATTATTGTCTAGTCTTTTTATGTTATTGTAGTTATTGTATTTGTGTTGTAGTTATTATTGTGTTGTAGTTATTATTGTGTTGTAGTTACTAATGTATTGTAGTTATTGTATTTGTGTTGTAGTTATTATTGTGTTGTAGTTATTATTGTGTTGTAGTTACTAATGTATTGTAGTTATTATTGTGTTGTAGTTATTATTGTGTTGTAGTTATTATTGTGTTGTAGTTACTAATGTATTGTAGTTAATTTGTAGTTATTATTGTGTTGTAGTTATTCATGTTCTACAGTTATGTATGTAGGGTAGTTATCAATGTATTGTAGTTATGCTAAAACAATTCACTATGACTGTCCAACTACAATATTATGGATTGTAGTTTGTTGAGAGTCGACCGACAGCGGAGCCCAAGAGCTAAAGGCGGAGCCCAAGAGCTAAAGGCGGAGCCCAAGAGCTAAGGCGGAGCCCAAGAGCTAACGCTCACTGTTGCAGGCACAATTAGTTAGGTTCAATGCGTATCCTGCAGAGAGCCAGTTACGTCGTAAAATATACATTGCACTCACCACAAAATCATTAAATAAAAGTCAATCATTTTTTGCTTAAATAAATCTTAATTATAACTTCTTTACAATGTGCTCATTGTAGATTTTTGTATATAAGAATAATTGGAATATGCGATAAATAAAAAGGTTTATAAACGCTTTAAAAATGTTGGGAATTAGTGATAAAAACGCGACGCGTTCATTAGGCTTATGTGAAGCTCAGTGTTAATTTATCGTTCAAAAATGTTCAGGCTTTTGTGTTCTTGAGTTACTTGTTCTATATGAATGGTGACCCGTCAACTCTCAGGGAATTGTGTTATATTACATATATAATTGTGTTATAATTATAAATATATTTATATGTATATATATATATATATATATATATATATATATATATATATATATATATATATATATATGAGTAATGTATCCTGGTTCTCGGTGCATATGTACTGGTCACTGACGAAACCTGTACATCCTTCCTCAATCACGGAGGCTTTGTTTACCCTTTATTAAACAATATACGAGCTGGGAAACTTCACAAGCTAAGATTACAATATTATTGTTATAGACCTCGTAGTGCTTCGAAGCCTTTAAACTGTTTAATACATATAAACAAAATAAAGATGTACAGGTTCCGTAAGTAGTGTATAAATGCGTGATGGATCTTGACTGCTACTTGACCTGCCACTAACTGTCAACCGGTTACATGTAAGTGGTTGCAACTACAGAACCAGCTCGTTCCCGTAAGGTTTCAACACGTCAAGAGACTGACAGAGACCTCACCCCTACCGAGCCTTAGCAGACAATACAGCTGACTGTACACAACTAAAGGTCCAGTGTTTACAGTTAACAATGACCCGCAAATACAATACAGTACTGAGTGAAGTTGCTGGGTACACGACTCATTACAGAGTACAGCCAATCTCACTTTTACACGCCAACAACTTGCTACAGCCTAATTAATTCATCGGATATTGCATGAGGTGGAATTTAATTATGTTTGTTTGCCTTGCTGTGAAGTAGTTATGTTTTGTTTGGGTTTATTGTGTGTGTGTGTGTGTGTGTGTGTGTGTGTGTGTGTGTGTGTGTGTGTGTGTGTGTGTGTGTGTGTGTGTGTGTGTGTGTGTGTGTGTGTGTGTGTGACCTAGTTGTGCTTGCAGGAGTTGAGCTCTAGTTATATAAAATAGTTAAAAGGACAGTTGAGAGGCGGGACCAAAGAGCCAGAGCTCAACCCCCGCAAACACAACAAGGCGAGTACACACACACACACACACACACACACACACACACACACACACACACTCACACACACACCTAATTTACTTTTTGTTGGGGAAAAATTGAGTATTTTTCAATATTTAGTGAGAGTAGTAGTGTAGGGGCGAACATGTTTTGTACAGGTGAGTGGAGTGTATTGGTGGAGGCGGGAACACCTGCAGGCTCCCCGCTGGCAAACACCGTACATTCTGGACACATGTTGTTCACCATCACCGAGAGGGTTACGGCTATGATTCTATCATCAATCCTTCACATATATTTTTCACTTGGGATAAACGATTTCAAAACTTTTTCCCCAAAGATCATTTTAATAGCGCCAGTCTTGTTGCTTATAGATGTAAACGACCTAACAGAGGACGCAGGCGCAGTATTATTCAACTTTAGTGACGATGTTAAGCTAATGAGACATTCTCAGACCCGAGCACTGCAGTACATTCCAATACGAACTAGACAATCTCCAGATGTCGTGTGACAAATGGTTACTAGAGTTAAACTCCGACAAATGCAAGGTTATGAGAGCAGGAGTTGGAGCACGAAGACCTCATATACAGTACAGGAGGACGAGAAGACAACTTCCAACCTGTGACAATGACTCAGGAGTGGACACACTAGAGACCCAGCACCAGCCGCACACATCACCAGGATAACCAGAATGACACACACATCACCAGGATAACCAGAATGACACACACATCACCAGGATAACCAGAATGACACACACATCACCAGGATAACCAGAATGACACACACATCACCAGGATAACCAGAATGACACACACATCACCAGGATAACCAGAATGACACACACATCACCAGGATAACCAGAATGACACACACATCACCAGGATAACGAGAGCAACATTGTGGCCAACTTCCTGTTATCCTTCACCAACTTGGACAAAGATCAGTTCCCAGCGCTGTATACAGCCTTTATAAGACCTGTTATTGAGTATGCTGCCCCGACACGGAACCTCAATACAAAGAAACATAAAATAAAACTAGAAAAGGTTCAAAATTTGTAAGGAGGCTCCGTCTTGTGCTAAAGGGGCTGAGCTGTAGAGACACTGAGGGAACTGGACCTCGCTATACTGGAGGAAAGAAGGAATAGGGCAAATATGATAACGACGTACAAGATACTAAGGGGATTGACAGAGTAGATGTAGAACTAACGTTCAAATTAAAGAACAGTAGAACGAGAGGACATAACTGGAAACACATATGAGTCACAGAGACCTCAGAGAGAACTTTTTCAGTCGTAAGACATGTCGTAAATATGTGGGACGGACTACACGAGGAAGCTGTCCAAGCCAATTCAATGCACGGCTGCAAATATAAATATGACAAGAAAAACAAATGTAAAAAGTCACTATTGAACAACTGCAGCGGTAGAAAGTGGCTGATGGTCGAAAGGCGGGACTTAAGAGATGCTCCACCCTGCAAGCACAACTAGGTGAGTACACACACACACACCTGACGGTTGAGAGGCGGGACCAAAGAGCCAGAGCTCAGTCCCCGCAAGCACAACTAGGTGAGTACACACACACACACCTGACGGTTGAGAGGCGGGACCAAAGAGCCAGAGCTCAGTCCCCGCAAGCACAACTAGGTGAGTACACACACAAGGGGACACAGGTGGAGACTGAGTACCCACATGAGCCACAGGGACGTTAGAAAGAACTTTTTCAGTGTCAGAGTAGTTAACAGATGGCAGCATTAGGCAGTGATGTGGTGGAGGCTGACTCCATACACAGTTTCAAGTGTAGATATGATAGAGCCCAATAGGCTCAGGAATTTGTACACCTGTTGATTGACAGTTGAGAGGCGGGACCAAGGAGCCAGAGCTCAACCCCCGCAAGCACAACAAGGAAGGTATACACACACAGTATAACCAATATACAAAAAATTGTACAACCAAATAAGAGTGAAGATAACAGGTGAGAGTTATGTGACCGTGTGAGAGGAGCAGAAGGATAACCACCAGAGATAACACATCACCACACCAGGCCGCTCTCTCACCCTCACAACTCCCTCAATAACATAACTGTTTCCTCTAACCACAAACGTATGAACCCAACCAACCCACCTAACCTATCGAGACCAATGTATAGAAAACGTCAATATATTACGGTATTTTAATAGTTGTTAATACGTCACAATTGTAACGGTTCCGCCAATTCTGTAACAAACATCTCGGAGGCT